ATCAGCATCAGCATCATCATCAGCATCAGCATCAACATCATCATCATCATCATCATCATCATCATCATCAGCATCAGCATCAGCATCAGCATCAGCATCAGCATCATCATCACCATCTGCCTCTTCCTCCTCCTCCTCCGCCTCCTCCTCCTCCGCCTCCTCCTCCTCCTCCGCCTCCTCCTCCTCCTCCTCCTCCTCCTCCTCCTCCTCCCCCCGGAGGCTCGTCCGAGCGGTTGGCCCCCCTCGGCGGCGTCGCGCCGCAAGACGGCGACGCTCTCGTGTGCTTGCTCAAAAAGACCGACGCGAGAGCCTTGAGACCAGGGCTCGCGAAAGAAGGACGAGGAGCAGCAGGAGGGGGAGAAAGAGGAGGAGGAGGAGGAGGAGGAGGAGGAGGAGAAAGAGGAGGAGGAGGAGGAGCTGGAGGAGGAGGAGGAGGAGGAGGAGGAGGTGGAGGAGGAGGAGGAGGAAGAGGAGGAGGAGTAGGAGGAGGAGGAGCAGGGGGAGGAGGAGGAGGAGGAGGAGGACAACAGCGGGGGAGTCCATGGAGGGGGGCGCGGCGCTCAAGAGGGGGGGTCAGCAGATCACGCCCCGAGGCCGGACATGGGGGGGGGAAGAGGGGGGGTCAGCAGATCACGCCCCGAGGCCGGACATGGGGGGGGGAGACCAGAGGACGTGCTGGAAGAAGAAGAAGAAAAAAAAAAAAAAAAAAAGAGGAGGCCACGATACCCGTGAGGTATCATGGCTCTGGCAAGATTCCCCCCTCTATAGTCATCACCCCCTCTCTTGGACGTCCCCGACAGCTCCCCCCGCCCGGTCACCCCTGTCGGTCCTGCGCCCGGTCTACCTGCCCGATGGGGCCGTACAGCGCGGCCATGTGCCAGAACTCGTCCAAGCATCCCCAATTTCTCTGGTCGGCGAACGAATTGTTCGAGCCGGAATAGGCGTTGAGGTTCATGCGGAAGCGACTTCACACAGGGCGCAGGGAGAAGGAGGCAAAATGAGTGGAGGACCAGGAGGAAGATCAGGAGAGAGGGGTGATCAAGAACGAGAAGGAGGGGGGAAGGAGCAGGGTCAAGAAGAGGATCCGACGAAGGAAACTCACGCACAACTTCTCTCGTCCAAACGGCCTCGCATTGTAGCACAATGATATCAACTGGTGAGACTGGTTCTTTTTACCATGACGCTAACGGGTGACTGGGAAATCCGTCGCACGTCCGCACCCATGTGTCTTAGGCCATCACTGGCTGTGACAGCGAACCGACAGTTCCAGCCGCGGCGGAGCGCCGGTGTGAGATGCCATCGACTTATTGGTTGCAGCGCTGGCGGACGCTCAGCGCGGTCGAGGCAGCAGACAGGGCTGTGGGATCGCGAGCTGAGCACCAAGGGCGAAAGCAAAGAGGGGGATGGCCGCGGGTGCCTCGCGAGGGGGGCGGATATGCGCGCTCAGGTCGCTTGGACTTTCACGAGCAGTGAGGGCGGCCTCAGGACCCCGAGGGAGTTGCACGAAGTCAGGGCCAACGAGGACCGCCCAGGGAATGCCATCAACCCCCTACACGCTCGCAAATCTCATCCACGGCAAAGCTGGCTGCAGCAGATGTATCGTTCGCCCAAGCACTCAACGCGCATTGGCACTGAGCGTCAGCAGCGTCCGAGAATCCATCGAAATTGAAATTGCGGCACGCCGGAGTTTGATGGTGGACGTAGCGCCCCTGCGGTAGCATCAATTCGCTCCGCCTTTCCCCGCCCCCAACACTACACAAACGCACCCATATATACATATACGTAACTGTGACTCTATAACTCTCTATCTATTTACATACATGCATGCATACCTACCTACCTACATACATACATGCATGTGTGCATACATGAAGGCAATCATACCGACAGGCATACATCAACTAACATTCCAGTGCGTTACATTCCACTGCAATACAGTACAATACATAACATCACATCACATTACAACACAATGCACTACAACACATTTTATTACATTGCATTACACTGCATTACGATACAGTCCAGTATATTACATGGCACTACACGACATTACATTACATGGCATCACATGGCATCGCATCGCATGGCCCTACATCATATTCTACTACATTGCACTCTCGTGTACTTCCGTATCCTAACTTACATCACATTACATTCCATTCCAAACAAGTTCACTCCGTTATAAAACATTACACTACGTTAAAGTACATTACCTCGCATTACATTACAATACCTTACACTACATTGAGCTAGACTGGATTGCATTACGTAGCGTAACCATACATTACATTACATCACATCACATTACACTACGTTGCGTTACGTTACATTACATTGCACTTTAATACATTCTATTACACTACATTCCATTACTTTGCATTACTTGACTTTACGTTACAAGGCACTACACGACACAGCATTACATTACGCGACCTTCCATTACATTACACTACGCTACACGACACTACACCTACACTACATTACAGACATACAGACGCCTACAGATACAGTGTGTGCGCGATCGAAGCCCCGCGCGCACCGACGAGGCGGGGCTACTCAGGCACACCGGAAGGGACCCCGCGCGCGCCGGCCTCAGAAGCACCACGGACCATATGCCATCCGGGCGTGGACGGCAGGGAGACAGGGAGGACGAGCGACGGCGAGAACGAGGGAGTTGCAGGCACCCAGGGGAGAGGATTACTGCAGCGGACAAACCGAAATAGAGAGAGAGAGAGGCGAACGGAAAGTGGCGGACACGCGGAAAGGCGCCGCTTCTGCGAGGAGGCAGCGTCGCTACTCCCCGACTGCGCGGGAGGGTCCCCCCCGTCCTTGGGCGGCGTCGCGGAGAACGGAGGGAGGCAGCGAGCGGATGACGAGTCTGAGCTGTGGGACAGTGAAAGTGTGAGGGTGAAGTCGGGACCGAAGTCGTCTACGTCCGCAGACTGCCTGCTGCTAGCCCACACGCACACAAACGCACACACACACACCTGTTTGGGGTCAGCGGATGTCAGCGGCGCAGAGGGTCCTCAAGCGCGGGCAGCAGATGGAGGTGTTAACTGCGATCGAGCAGAGTCGAAAACGCAGTGAAAGAGGCGTCAATGACTCGCGTGCAAAGACGGGCGGTGGGCAGGAGGGATTGTAACCCAGCGAACGTGCAGCGGCCAGAAACCGAGGAGGCACGCACACACAGAGACAAACACACACACACACACACACACACACACACACACGCACACACACACACACACACACACACACACACACACACACACACACACACACACACACACACACACACACACACACACACACACACACACACACACACACTCGGGCGCGCGCCGACGCACGCACACACACACACACACGCACACACACGCGCACGCGCACACAGACACAGACAGACAGACAGACAGACAGACAGACAGACAGACAGACAGACAGACAGACAGACAGACAGACAGACAGACAGACAGACAGACAGACAGACAGACAGACAGACAGACAGACACACAGACACACAGACACATAAAAAATATCCCGGCAAAGCAACCTAACAGCGATGTGTAGGAGCATATCTGGAAGCATTCCCCTTAAGATTCAGATAAGAATCCTGTTGTAGAATTCTGCTGTTCTCGCAGTCGTGGTCGCATTCGCGATGGCAGTCGCAGTGGCAACAGCAGTCGCAGTCACAGCCTCAGCCTCAGCCTGCCTCAGCCTCAGCCTCAGCCTGCCTCAGCCTCAGCCTGCCTCAGCCTCGCCCTCAGCCTGCTTCAGCCTCAACATCAGTCTGCCTTCAGCCTCGGCCTCAGCCTGCCTCAGCCTCACCCTCAGCCTGCATCAGCCTCAGCCTGCCTCAGCCTCGCCCTCAGCCTGCTTCAGCCTCAACATCAGTCTGCCTTCAGCCTCGGCCTCAGCCTGCCTCAGCCTCACCCTGCATCAGCCTCAGCCTCAGCCTCAGCCTGCCTCAGCATCAGCCTGCCTCAGCCTCAGCCTCAGCCTGCCTCTGCCTCAGCCTCAGCCTGCTTCAGCCTCAGCCTCAGTCTGCCGTCGGCCTCGGCCTCAGCCTCAGCCTGCCTCACCCTCAGCCTGCATCAGCCTCAGCCTCAGCCTGCCTCAGCATCAGCCTGCCTCAGCCTCAGCCTCAGCCTGCCTCAGCCTCAGCCTCAGCCTGCTTCAGCCTCAGCCTGAGTTTGCCTGCAGCCTCGCCTCAGCCTCAGCCTGCCTCAGCCTGCCTCAGCCTCAGCCTCAGCCTCAGCCTGCCTCAGCCTCAGCCTCAGCCTCAGCCTCAGCCTGCCTCAGCCTCAGCCTCAGCCTGCTTCAGCCTCAGCCTCAGTCTGCCTTCAGCCTCGGCCTCAGCCTCAGCCTGCCTCAGCCTCAGCCTGCATCAGCCTCAGCCTCAGCCTCAGCCTGCCTCAGCATCAGCCTGCCTCAGCCTCAGCCTCAGCCTGCCTCAGCCTCAGCCTCAGCCTGCTTCAGCCTCAGCCTCAGTCTGCCTTCAGCCTCGGCCTCAGCCTCAGCCTGCCTCAGCCTCAGCCTGCATCAGCCTCAGCCTCAGCCTCAGCCTGCCTCAGCATCAGCCTGCCTCAGCCTCAGCCTCAGCCTGCCTCAGCCTCAGCCTCAGCCTGCTTCAGCCTCAGCCTCAGTCTGCCTTCAGCCTCGGCCTCAGCCTCAGCCTGCCTCAGCCTCAGCCTGCATCAGCCTCAGCCTCAGCCTCAGCCTGCCTCAGCATCAGCCTGCCTCAGCCTCAGCCTCAGCCTGCCTCTGCCTCAGCCTCAGCCTGCTTCAGCCTCAGCCTCAGTCTGCCTTCAGCCTCGGCCTCAGCCTCAGCCTGCCTCAGCCTCAGCCTGCATCAGCCTCAGCCTCAGCCTCAGCCTGCCTCAGCCTCAGCCTCAGCCTCAGCCTGCCTCAGCCTCAGCCTCAGCCTGCTTCAGCCTCAGCCTCAGTCTGCCTTCAGCCTCGGCCTCAGCCTCAGCCTGCCTCAGCCTCAGCCTGCATCAGCCTCAGCCTCAGCCTCAGCCTGCCTCAGCATCAGCCTGCCTCAGCCTCAGCCTCAGCCTGCCTCAGCCTCAGCCTCAGCCTGCTTCAGCCTCAGCCTCAGTCTGCCTTCAGCCTCGTCCTCAGCTTCAGTCTGCCTTCAGCCTCAGCCTGCCTCAGCCTCAGCATCAGCCTGCCTCAGCATTCAAAGTGTGGCCCGGGAATGGAGTTCTGGGAACTCGAAGAACACGAAATGGCCTACAGTTGGCTCCGGGCATTCAAAATCATGCCCAGGAATGGAGTTCTGGGAACTCGAACACCACGAAGTGGCCTACAGTTGGCTCCGGGCATTCAAAATCATGCCCAGGAATGGAGTTCTGGGAACTCGAAGACCACGAAGTGGCCTACAGTTGGCTCCGGGCATTCAAAATGTGGCCCGGGAATGGCGTTCTGGGAGGTCAAGGAGCACCAAGTGTGTGACTGTTGCATCCGGTTATTCAGAATGTGGCCTGGGAATGGGGTTCTGAGAGGTCGACGAGCACGAAGTGTGTGACTGTTGGTGAAAAACGAGCCCGGCACAGGCCCGGCCGGCAACTCCCAACGCCTGCCCGGACCCCCCTGTGGAGTGATCTGTGAGCTCTTTTGAGTCAACTAGAAACCTATCAGTCTACGCTGTTAGGTAACAAACAAGCAAAACAAAAACTACCGTTCTCTACCACTCGCCTCCCCTCCTCTCGCCTCCATTCCTACACCACTCGCCTCCCCACCTCCCGCCTCTCTCCTCTACTTCTTTCTCCTCCTCTTCCCCAAACCCGGCCTCTCTCCTCCACCTCCCTCCTCCTCCTGCTCCTCCTCCTTCTCCTCTCTTCCTCCTCCTCCTCCTCCTCTTCCTCCTCCTCCTCCTCCTCCTCATCATCATCATCATCATCATCACCCTCATCCTCACCATCATCACCATCATCATCGGCAGCATCATCATCCGCAG